CAGAGAGAGATGTCATTGACAGGTGACCAAATGACACAGAGCGTTACCATTATTTAAAAATCCACAGATATCTCTAGGTTTGTAGAATTGCTGGAAACCATTTTTCGCGATATATGTCAATCGTAATAATCTATATATCGTTATATTATATATTATATATATATATATAGACATATTATAACTTTGAATAATAATACAAAATCAAAAGTATAACATAGTAAGTCAATTACTGCATCAAAAGTATGAGATAATAAGTCTAATAATTTAAACTCACTGAGTCAAACTTTTGAAATACTGGGTCAGAATTTAACTTTTAGTCAAAATCAGAATCATGCAATAGTAAGTCAAAATTTTACTTATAATAGGCACAATTTTGACTTTTTGTATTTAGTTTTCCACTTTGACAATAAAGGTCCAGGTCAAATATTTTTCTTACTACGTCAAACTTATGAGATACTAAGTCAAATTTTAACTTACATGATCAAAATTACGAGCTAATAAGCCAAAAGTTAAAAATCATCCGATACTAAATCAGAATTATGAAATAGTAAGTCAAAATGTTTTTCTTCTTTTGGCAAAAATATGTTTCCATGCACACCTGTATCACCTGTACCTGAAAAGGTATTGTGTCCGGACAGCAAAACATCGACCCTTAACACACACCTCAACTTTATGTCAAGACAGTTGTCGTGCTGCCGGTTTCCACATACAAATCATCTTGCCTCGGTCATTTTCTTCAGCACTCACGTTACTGTCTGTCTGTTCGCTGTAAAGCTCTTGAACAACGCTGCCAACGAGGTTTTCAAGTCAAGTGAGAAGAGGAGACATTGGCCCCCGAGGTTTTTCGTTTTAGACGTAACGTAACGTTTCTACCTCACACCTGTAATTTACTGATTGCTTAATTGAATTTCTCACTTGGGCTTTTCTAGTGAGACGTTAAGCCTTGAACTCCCAGCTCACCTTGAAGGCGATGTCATAAAACTCTCCACTGTTGCTGATGGAGGGTCTGCTGGGATAAACCAGTCCGGAGGACGGAGCGGCAGCGGCGGCCAGACCTTTCCCCGTCCTCCCGCTGCTCGGCGACGCCTTGGGGCTCTTGGAGCTCCCTTTGCCTTTCACTGCCTTCTTCCTGGACATGGCTCTGGTCACTTGTTCACCTCCGAGCAGCCGAGACAGAAGAACGAAGAGGAGAAATAAGAAGAGATGGCTTCGATACTTTTTTCTTTTTTTTTTTCTTTTTTCCTTGTGGAGTTGTGGTCGAGGCGCGATGAGGCGACAGAAGTTCACCTGTGCGTCAAAATCATGACTGTGCGTAAAAGCTGAAACTGATCACGGTTCCGCGAACAAAAAGTGACTATGAAGCGAGACAGCTGTTGTCCCGGTGGCTGAGCTGGATAACGATAAATCAGAGGTCTGGTTCACAATGTAAACAGCTCCCTCTCTCTCTCTCTCTCTCTCCTCCCTCTCTCGTATTGTGATGTTGGGAGCGCGTGAAGGCATGGTTGTTACGGTGCGTTTGTGGGGAAAATCCACCCTAAAACAGAAATAACACTACACTTTCCCCAGTGATGTTGCAATCTGAGACATGATCCGTAAATGCAGCCTTCCAAAGCTGAGGCAATAGCATTTCTCAAACTGATGTTGCTCCGGTGACATAATTTGCGTGAAACATTTCTGTCGATCGTTGGAAAGATTAATGGACAACGACAAACTCTGCGTTTCAAATTATTTTTGAATCATCCACCCAAATCAAATCTGTTTTAAGATGATTGATCAGATTGGAATCAGTGCCCATCACTATACCAGCTGTCAATGTCCACCATGTTTTATAATGAACTATCTTTGGGTCAGCGCCAGGATTTGTTTGTAACGCACTTTATTTCAGTTTGTCAGTTCACTGTTCATCTTCAGGAACATTTTATAATGTAAAAGAAAAAAAAACTACTGCAACAATTTTACACTGTAGTAGAAATGAAATGTAAATTCTATTTTTTGGGTGTATTTCTCTTTTAAAGGTGCAGCTCGGTATTGGCACTGATTGAGGGGCTACCAATCTTCTCTGTTGGTCTCACCAGCACATGATTTGGAAAAGGTGGAGCTGAAGAAGGAAAGGAAGGATAAAAAGGTGGGACATGCAACAACCACCATGACAGCCTAACACACCTGTCAGTTAAGCAACAACTCCTCAGTACATATCCCTTATATCAGTGGTTCCCAACAGCCGCTGCAAAGGTATCGCAGGTGGGCCAACAAATCCTTTGCAAAATAGTAAAATATTTTTTTCCAAAAAAAGAACATAAAGTGTTTTTAAATGTTTTAAAAAGGAGTCTCTCCTGATTGAAATAAAGTTCTTCTGTTAACTCCAGGTGTTGCTTGACTTTTTCCTTTCTCCATGCATCTTGGAACTAGGTGAAGTTGTGCTGAAAACCTTCCTTTCACAATACTGTAACTACCAGGTTATGTGAAAACACCACGACTCACTCCTCATCTTAAATAGATTTACTATTTTTGTAGTCATTTTCTTACATTCACTCTGATGACACATGCTCTAAAGCATTTGACGTAACTGTGATAAAAAGGATGATCTGTCCACTGCACTAGTGACTCACATCTTTTTCTGTATGTTCTATTGTAGCCTGTTTCCTCGTGGACGGGAAGATTTGTTGAGCATCTTTTTCTGTCTACTTTAATCTACAATCTGTTTTACAATCTGTTTTAAACGTTCACGCCCGAGAGGCGCCCAGTGCAACCAGTAGGCGCCAGACACCTCTTCAAGTGATCTTTTCCATTGATGCATCAATGATGTGATTCACTCACTCTTCCTGCCCAGACTTTTCCCCAGCAGGGAATTGTACCAACAACCCACACCCCCTTTTGGTCACAACCAGTCTTTGAGCATCACTGCCGCCCCCACTTTAATATTATATCACAGAAAAAAAAACTGGGAAAATGCTATGAGCCAAACCGGAGCCGTGGAGATGAGACAGACACATGTCCCTGCTGTCTGTTACACAATCAGAGCACAAAATGGACGGCCACGTGATCCACCGTGCAATCTGTAAGTTAACAATCAAAGTCACATAAAACTGCAAGAAAGGCTGCAAAAAGCAATTCTGCTGGGAGATATGTTTGCAGTCCAGAGGCGGAGAACACAGCAAACAGGATGCAGATACGTTTGATGAGGAGACTATTAAAAACAGCCACGCTGTGTAAAGTGGTGCGTTGTCAAAACCAATGAGCTGCAAACAACAGGAGGAGCACACATACACACACACCCATCCACCACGAGTGACGCAACACCGATTGGACGAGCTCCTTCGCTGTTTATTTATCTTTTGCATATAATCCATGACCTAAGTATTACACATAGCTCTTTTAACACATGGTACCCAAAGTTGGACAGATACACATAAAGTCATACAAAATCATCGCATTTAATATTTTGTGGAAAATCCTTTACAGTCATTGACCTGAAGTCTTTGACCGGACAACATCAGCCGGTGATTCTCCCCCAGGACTTCACTGCAGCCTCCTTCAGCCGCTGCCGGTTGTGGGGTCTCCGTCAGCCGATTGATTCAGCCAGTCGAGGATCTTCAACCTCTCCTTGCCCTGAAAAAAAGCTCATTGGTTGCTTTGGCCGTGTGTTTAGGACGGTTGCTCTGCTAAATGATGAACTGTCATCCAATGAGTTTTGATGCATTTGGCTGAATGTGAGCACACAGAACGCTTCCTGTTACTTTCGTCAGCAGTGTCCCGCTTCCATGTGTGCCTAAGCCAACACAGAGCCACCACCTTTGACAGATAATTCCTCTTTACATCCATCGGATAGACGTTCATTTTTGCTACACAGAGCTTTGTTCCAGAACTGTATCATGTTACAAGGTGTTTTCATCTTGTGCTGATTCCCTCCGATGTTCTGATCATGAAGTCTTCTCTTCAACGTGGGCAAGGAAACGTGTCCGCCTACAGTGTATCACCATGCAAATGATTTTTCTGGTCATCCACAAGACTTCTGCTCCTCGGTCTACCAGGTCGTTTTTCCATTTTCTAGTTTTCCTTCTTATAATGTACCGCACTGTTGATTCGGAAACACCAACTACCTCAGATATCCCTCTGATAAACAGCCTCATTATTACCTGCTTCACTTGCATGGTCACCTCTTTACTCCTCGTACTTATACAGACAACTCCACCTCGATCTAAACAGCAACTCACAATCAACTTTGATCCACATGTGAGCTCTTCTGTGTATGAACCAACAGTGAAATGACACACAGCTGCCTTAGAAACCAAGAACACATAACTATTCAAATATTTACGGTCTGGACTGTAGTTCATCACTTCTTACCACTCAAAGAGTTCAATATTGAATATATAAAGAACATATTATGAAATGATTATAAGAAAAAAATGGAAGGAAAAGGGGAAACAACCTCAATAATTTATATTTAAGATGCACTGCACGTACTAAATGTGTTTCAGGCAGCTCTTTGATAAAAAATATCCTCTTCAGATGTGTAGAATCCAAATCCAAAAAAGACTCAATTACTCAAACTCAAAGACACACAATATTCAGAGAAGATTAGAATTAATTATGTAGAAAAACAGGAGTCGAAATGTGTCACAATCAATTTTGCAGTCACATAATCTTGGAGAAAAAAACTATTATTGATACTGGCTTAATAGATGCAAGAGATGTCTGTCAGTCAAAAAGTAAACACATACACGCATCAGTGGAGGCTGGGTTCAGTCAGAGTAATGAGAGTAAACTACCAAGTCCAGATGGCACCAGTTTTCTTGAGAACAGCTCCATCTAGTGACCTCTTTGTGTTACTCCACCTCTGACAGAAACCAAGAATCACAAGCGTGTGTTCAGCTACTGTAAAATCCAGTGTCAGCAATGGTTATGTTAATGCAAATGAGACCAACGGGGTCTTTGTATCTGCTCCTTTCTGTGTTAGAAAGCAGCAATTGACATTTTGCATACAATTTCTTTTTTATTAAGAAATAAAATGTGTTTAATTTTAATGTCCGAATCATTTTCTTTCAGCTCGTTCTCACCTATTACTGTCTTTCATGAACCTATACTTATTCATTCAGTGTTAAAAAGACTGAATTTGTAGGATGAATGTGTTTTTGATTGAAAATGAAAGTGCTGAAACAAGAAAAATAGTTTTGCTCTTGTCCTTTGATGGTTCTAGTTGGAAAATCCTGTTGTATGGTTAGAGGAACACATGGTCACCTGTGACTAAATGTCTGATCATGTTTTAAAGATCATGTAAAGAGGAGAGCCCTGACTAAGAAGAAGACTAAGGTCAAAAGAACAAGTTGTGTTTCTGTCTGACGAATTAACAGGGAGAGCCTGAAGTATTAATAATAATAATGGCCAGTATGGGGATCGAACCCATGACCTTGGCGTTATTAGCACCACGCTCTAACCAGCTGAGCTAACCGGCCTACATTTCAACACATTTTGCTTTAGAATCAGAACGACAGAACAAATCACACTCAATCCATTTTTCATGTTTCTCCGACAAAACAGGAAAAGAGCTTTCGTATCATGTGAGAGGTAATGGTATCTTTCTATGTGTGGAACAAAGTCTGAAGGATTTTCTCAAGCTTTGCATCAACACCCTAATCTACATCATGACCACTGCATCAGTATGTGTTGCACCAGTGACGCGGACTAAAGCAGTAAAGATGCTTCCATCAAACACCTTAGATTCAGCAATGCATAGGATGCAACAGCCAACCATGAAGGGACTCGAACCCTCAATCTTCTGATCCGAAGTCAGACGCCTTGTCCGTTAGGCCACATGGTCTGAAAACCACATATACTACCTTTCGATGCAGCTAGGGTTTAGATGATACTGAACGTTTCATCAGCTGTGGCCACCCGGGTGGTGTCTGTAGAGAGCGCCAAATATTCAAGAATATGTTCAGCATATGAGAGGTAGTGAGATTCTGCAACACATTTGTATCTGAGGAGTTAAAACAGCCACTGCTGTCTCAAACTTTACATCAACACACCAGAAATAATCACACCCTGGGAGGTGTAAGTGTTGTTTCTTTAATGCTTCAACAAGCACACATTAACCCACGGCACCAGAGAAGGGTGAGAAACAAATGTGATCTGCCGCAGTAGCAAAGGGTGTTTCGCTCTGACGCATTACAAGGGAGAACCTAAAGGGTTAATGCTATTGGCCAGTATGGGGATTGAACCCATGACCTTGGCCCTATTAGCAGCACGCTCCAACCATAGGTGGAGTGAGGGGGCTGGTTTATGGGGCTCCAGCCCCAGGTGTTTTCCCAAAAGTCTAGAATTTAGTTTATTATAACATTATTTATATTTATAACTTCAACTTGGTGTCATATTCTCTCAGTCTCTCTGACTGGACCGGCAAATCCGTTTTACCCGTTTGCACGGGGGCTAGGAGCGCAGTTGTGGCCGAGCAGTTTCTCATAGAATTGACTAAAACTGAGTGACACACGTTGATATTGTGGATAATAGCAAACCGAGAAATAGCTTTATTGAGCACAGAATAGATTTTAGTTTGCTCAGGTTACAGTATTATTTGCTCAAAAAAAAATTTAGTAGTAAAAAAATATGTAGTTTGTGATATAGAAAAAGGTTTGTGTTTGTCTATTTTACACTCAGGCCAGTAAATGTGGAACTGTTCACATGAAGCATCAAGAAATGAACATTTTCTTGAACCACTTTGCTGAGAAAGTAAATTCAAAGCCTCCGACTCTGCCGGACTTACCTCCGGCACCGGGCAGTAGATTTCTTGGGGGAAGTTTCAGAGTGTTTGGACCGTGGACTGTTCTCAGAGCCAGGTATGGGCCAACTGCGACCTTCCTGCTTTTTGTCTTCCGTATTTAAAGCAAAGTTGGCGCCTTTCGGCCAAATGCCCGTATGTGCGCAGACCATTAAAGCAGACAGATGTGCGGACCTCTGGTTTTTCCCTCCACTCCCCGTTTCCTGTTCGTCCGATTTCCGAAACTGTCACAGGTATGAAAAGTTTCTGCGTTTGTTTGTTCCCCACTTTACTTTTCTTCTGCTGTTATTACCATTATTCTGGAGAAAGACTCGGCCGGGTCTGGGCCCAGAGATCCGGCTGAAATGCGGTCCACCTGGTTTTCCAACAACCCACAACCAGGCCGGAAGCAGCCACCCGTGCCGGACGGCCATTAGACCTACTGCTCTGGCGCTGGGCCTGAACGGCGTTTGTTAATTTCCTGATATTTTCCCCACGTCAGCCCTTCACTTAGATACAGGATGGAATCAGATTACATAACATGCTGTCTTATTAAAATACACATTTACACACAGAGTAAACCAGCATCAAGTCCACAAGCAGCAGCAAAAATCAATCAGCTATCTACAGTAGCTGTGTAGAGTCCACCCTAACTGGTCTCATCCAGATGTTGAATTGGATATAAAGCTTAAAATTTGAAATACTTATTGTAGTGTAAGAAATTAGACATATTTTAAGGCCTTGCAGCATCAGAGCCCCATTCATTGTTATAGAGCAAACTGGGATGACATTGCACATTTTAAGGTTCTCCCTTTGGTTTCTTACTTTAGAGGAGAGTGGTGCACATTCACAAATATTCACCATTTCTTTCTGGGGCACAGGAATAACAAATGTGAATTCTTAAAAAGGGTTTGATTCTCCTTTAAATGCACAATCCATGATTATGATAGTGCTCCATCCTCAAAGCATCTGGGAAAATAACAGGCTAAAATGATAAATATTAAAGTCATTATAGAAGCCTATTGGGGACTATTGAGATAATCATGTAAACTTGAAAATGAAAATGTTATTCCATGATAGCAATGTAATTCTTCACATGTGTTCCAGGTTTACACTGGACTTGACTTGATGAATATGAACAAAGCAGCAGAAGCAGTCAGCAGGACATTTCCCTGGATAGATGAGTGGAGCTGAGAGAGTGAAAGAAGAAGAAAAGAGGAGGGAATGAGAACAGAGTGATCCGGAGTAGATCAAATAAAATACTGCCTGACAATATTACAGTACATGTCCATGTTGTTTCTCCTATGATGCTATTCTTTAAAGAAATTTAATATCATTAGAGTAAATATTCTTCTGTTGGCCTAATATTCAGTTCAGTCATGAAGACATTTACTTGGTCTTGTTGTGGATCCATGTACATGGTCTGGATTTAAATGTAGATTTTTCATCTAAACATTAAATCTGTGAACTCTACTCCAGCAGTGTAACAAAAATAGGTGTCAAAATTAGTGATCCTATTTATGCCAGATTCATTCCCCACCAACAGTATGTCATGTAAATTCTAAATTGTAACATCAGACAATTTTTGTCTCTTTTTATGTGACAGTAGTGAAAATTAGTCATTGTTAAAATCTGTTGTGTTGTGGTCTCAGAATGATGGAGACAGAGAACAATTAGATTCAAAATATGATGCAGGCTTAGGATGATTTTTTTTTTCCTGGGCAACTTTCATGTTTTTCCCAAATGATATACAAATGGCTTGATACAGTAAACAGCATGTAGCTGCTGTGAATTGGGGAAAAAAATCCCCAGGGGAGCATGTCCCCTGAATATCCACTTGGGTTGAATGTTTACAATGTCTGGCGCCACCCCTGCTGCTCTCCAGTGGGGTCAAATGGGGTCACTCACTCTGTGTGACGTCACTCACTCTAGCCGTGAACATTCCGCCACATACACACTGATGTAAAAATCTGGAACGGTCCAGAAACGTTCATGACACATGAACTGTCACTGTGTAAAAACTATGAATAGGATTTCTATGGAGGTAGATTTGCCTCAATGTTATTTGTGTGAACAGACTGACAATCCATGTGTAAATGTGTAATCTGTAAATATAAAACACCTTCCACAGATAGATAGATAGATAGATAGATAGATAGATAGATATGTTCTGCAGCGCAGCGAGATAAGACGTTTGCTGCAGCTGCATTATTATATATTGTATTATTATTATTATTATTATTATTGTTGTTATTATTATTGTTGTTGTCATCCAAGTGCCCCAAAAATCTTCCAAATAGAAATTTTACATTAACTTAAACATTATTATTATAATATTCTATTTTTTCCTTCATATAAAATCTCTATCTTATTTTTTCTGTCATTTGACTGCATTTTATTTTTAAGACTGCGTGACGTCACTTTGTGGGCGTTCCACACGGAAGAGCAGGTGCAGCACCGAGCCTCAGCAACATCTCTTCAGCCGTGTTCAGGCCCGCGGAACCACAGCCTGTAATCCTGCAGCGTGAGAGTCCGGAGGGCCGCGGACATGACCCTGAACCAGAACCACTCGGAGTCCGGAGGAGTCATCATCAACAACAGTGAAAGGTAACGATGGCGGCGATGACGTGTTAGCTAGCAGCTCCCGTTAAACAGACGGACAGGTCCTACTCTCTCTCCTGGGAGAACGTCACAGCCACGTCATTCAAAAATAAACACAACTCGTATGTGTCATGTGTGTGTTAGCGGACGGAGACGCTGCAAACCGGGAGCAGGTTCATACTACACAGCACACAGCGACACCGTCAGCTAACTAACACTATTAGCTAACTAACTTCAATTAACTGAGGCGACAACTTTTAGCATCTGTTAGCTTGTTTATTACACAGCGATGGTTCCTTACAGGAGCTCTATGACATGTCGCACATGAGCCGAACTGAAGACTGACCCAGGATCAGTGTCTGACCACTTCGGGTTTACAGTGAAACACCAGCTGAGCAGCGGGGCCACAGAGTCTGTTACAGCGCCATGTTTCTTAATGGGATCATCGCGTTGTCCAAACATGGCCTTCAACCTGTTACATCATCACTGCAGTCAACCAGAGAGGACACGTCATCACACCAGTGTTTACTAGTTATAAACGTAGTTACTCAAACATTATTTCATCATATGGACAGGAGTAGTATTTACTGCAGCTCCATCACTGCTCTCTGTATCACTGTCTTCATCGGTCTCCATCACAGCTCTCTTACCTGCTCTGTAGTAAAACGTGTCACAGATTCTTCTAGAAACACTGGAGTTTATTAATAAACCATCAGAACTGACCCAGAACCAGCAGTAGATCTAATCCAGTTACTGTGGTTGTGTTTCCTGTTGACTGACGGGAAGTGATGGACCATGTTTAGTGACTGGACAGTTGCACAATAATCTGATGATCTCATCTTTAAACTGTTCAGTCAAAGATGATTGAAGTATAAAATATATAATTAACCAAACAAAACTCCATATAAATAATGTATTTTTTTATTTTTTACTCTGAAAATGTGATGGAATAGAAAAATTCCTGTTGTCTGATCAGACTGTTGTCACCCTGTGCTGTTGTCCCTCAGTGTGTTGATGAACCATGACAACGTGGAGCTGGTCTTCTGTGATGTGGACAGTTTGCCTGAAGCCTTCAAAAAGAGCAAGAAGGGAAGCATCTACCTGACTCCATACAGGGTGAGAGACACACTCTTCATCTTTATTTATCCTCATCCTCACACTGAGACAACACCGTCTCTGCTGACAGCAGTACTGTCTGTAGGAGCCGGGGAGGGGGGGGGGGGGGTGTTGATGCTGAGATGATGTGATTGGTCTGTTCTTCCTCAGGTGATCTTCCTGGCTAAAGGCCACGATGCTCTGCAGTCGTTCATGATGCCCTTCTACCTGATGAAGGGCTGTGAGGTCAAACAACCTGTGCTGGGAGCCAATTACATCAAAGGCAGCATCACTGCAGAGCCTGGAGGTGAGTGTGTGTGTAGTTCAGGTGACAGTGTGACTGTTGGTTCAGCAACTACAGTGATTCATGTGTGACTGCACCGACAGGTGGCTGGGAGGGCGGGGCTACCTTCAAGCTTGTGTTTGCTGCAGGAGGAGCCATAGAGTTCGGACAGTACATGCTGCAGGTGGCCGCTCAGGGTATGATGACACACCAACACCTTAGTTACCTGTTGTTACACCTGTGACTCTGACGTCTTTATCCTCCTGTCGTCTCCCAGCATCCAGAGGTCAGCCGGTGACCCCTGGGTTCGGTGGATGCCCCTACCTGGCCAACGGAGCCTATGCCTGCCCCCCTCCCCCGACTAATGGGATGTACCCGTCTGGAGCTCCACCTGGATACTCCTACCCCAACCCTCCCCCTCCAGGTAGAAGCAGTGATGATCACTGCAGCCTTCATAATCAGTGATGTCACAGAGATGTGAGGTAACAGCAGCATGTGTGTTCCTACCCTCCAGGTGGATTCTACCCCAGCCTGCCAGTGTTCGATGCCTCCGCCGCTGCCTACATCCCCCCACCTCCATACTCTGCTCCTCTGGGCCAGCAGCCGCCACATGACCCAGACCTGCCGTCCTCAGCAGCAGGTGAGTGGTCTGACACAGAGGCAGGAGGTGTCAATACACCAATCAATCTCATTCAGTCAGATCAATAATAAATATCATCATTTATTTGTTTTTACTGATGTGATCATGTGATTATTAATGATAACCCTAACCCTTAATGTTTCCAATCAATCTATAATTGAACAATCATGAAATCGTTGAAAGTGTTTCTGTCTAAACACAGAGTGAAACTTCACCTTTGACCCTCCCCTGCCCTCCTCCCTCCCCCCTCCCCTCCCCCCTCTGTCTAAGCTGAGGCCAAAGCAGCTGAGGCAGCAGCTAGTGCCAGCTGTGCCACGCTGCCTCCTACACATGTGTACCTGCCACAGGTGAGTGCCCTGCATCAGTCTGCAGACACACTGAGCTCAAACCGTCTCATCGTTAACACTGTGGCTGTTTGGTTGAACTTCCTGTTTGTCCTGTTGGAGACATTTTTAGGACATTTAAAAACTAATTTTAAAAATAGCTCATATTTAATTTGGGTGTTTATTTCTGTCAGGAAACATCATGACATCACATAGCAACAGTTACTATGTTGTCCTGTGTCTCTGACCTCAGCTCAGGCTCCATCCAGATGTTCTGCACACTTTAACCATATTTGAGAAGCTAATTAACAAATTAGCTAATTAAATAAGAAGCTAATTAATGCTATGAGACAAGCAGCTGATTAAACCACTGCAGAAGAAGAAGGTACAGTAACATGACATGATGTACACAACAGCAGCGTCTGTCTGCAGCACAGTGTCTCATTTTGATTTCAGTGCACCAACTTTTTCACCTCAACCTAACTGGATCAGTATCTGTAGTCCTGGATCAGTATCTAGTCCTGGATCAGTATCTGTAGTCCTGGTCTCAGACTGGACCTGTCTCTCTGTCTCTGCAGGACAAACCTCCTCCCTACTCCCCCCCAGAGGACAAGAAGAACCAGTAGACCTGCTGACCCTCAGTCCTCCGTCTCCTCAGTCCTGCTGGATCACCCGTTTCACCAAGACGCTTTTTAACATCCTCCCTCTTTCTCGTCTTCTTATTCCTCCTCCTCTCATTCCATCTCTCTCACCTTATTCAAACTTTTTTTCATTCCTGTTAATAAATATATTGTAATCTCCCTCCTCCTCCTCTTCCTCCTGCCCCTGATGAAGTGTCATTAGAAACCTGACAGAGACCAGGAAGGGTGTGTTCAGGGTGTGTGGGTCTTCTCAGTGCAGTGGAGGGAATTTCAGTAACCTTCATCATCCTCCTCCTCAGCCCTTCTTCTACTGACTGGACTCAGCCTGATGTTGATCACTGTGTTAACTAATGCTTTATTTTTCTATCATTAGTCTACAGGACTTTAAAATGAGGGGAGGGGTCTGCTGGTCTGGTCTGCTGGGACATGCTGTAGTGGATGAGAGGACCAGATAATAGCAGTGTCAGGCCCCAGCAGTGAATCCTCATCCTGGATTAGAGCAGAGAAGGGGGGGGGGTACTGCCAGGAGGGATTATCTTTACAAGAGCAGAGCAGTGATGTCACTTCCTGTTTTTTTGCCTGCTTCACCTTTTAGTCTCTTCACACAGATTCAAACGTCAGACCTGGACCATGAGTCTGTGTGAGACTCTGAGGTCCTGGTCTGGGTCTGATCTGGACTCTTCCTTCTGTTCCTGTATCTGGTCTCTGCTCTTTCACGGCTGCTGTTCGCTCTGTCATGGCTCTGTATTATAACGACGATGACGATGATGATGAAGCTCTGTATTTATTTCAAACTAATTTATTGACAAATTAATGTAAATGTTTGAAGTGAGAAAACAAAGCATGATCACATGACTGATCACATGACTGATGCATGATGAGTTGGATTTTATTAAATGATTCATGTGGAAACGTCTCTGTTTTATTTCTACACTGAACATCTCAATATTGCTTCATTACAGATTAACACAGCATGGGGAGGGGGAGGGGCGGGGTTCTCACAGTCAGTAGTTCTTGTCTGCAGAGTCCCAAAGACTGAAGCTTGTGTCAGGGGCCTCAGGAGCCTCAGGGGCCCCAGTGTTCACAGCTCTGCTCGTTAAGAGCTCATGATTTTTAAAAAAACTCTTAAGTCCATTAAAAACATCAGCAGGTTCCATGACAGGGTGAAGACAGTTCAGTGTGTGCTTTCATCCCATTGTCACTGGGGAGATTGTACTTTTAACAGCTCATTGTCCTGATCATGTGATTTACTGGTTCACATCTGTCACATCTGGACTCTGAAGAAAGTTCATCAGCATCAGATTTAGTTTTTATCTGGAGACCTGAACTGAACAAATTCTCTGACCGAAGTCTGACCTGGAGAACAGGTTTCCACTCGGCTCAGGTGAGTCTCTGAAGTTCCTCATACCTGTGAACACACCTGTGAACACGCCTGAGGTCCAGGAGGAGTTTGTCGTTGTTGTTACCATCTCCAGCTCAGAGGAACAGACAGGATCAGGTGTTTCAGAATCAATGATCATGTGACTCTGAGCTTCTATCTAAAATCATAAGAGAAAACAAACCAGAGAAAAGCAGGAGCTCAGGACCTTCATGACCTTTGACCTTTCATTAGCTCTGTTTTTGTTACATGTGAGGACACAATGAGTGAAGGGCCGAGTCCATCACAGTTAGTTCTGCTGAAAACAAAGAAGGAAGTCACAGTAAAAAGAATAAAATGATTGGGAGGGGGGGGGTCCTCTGTGCTGAGCTCTCCTCCTCAGTCTCTTCATGTAGAGCAGAGGGGGGGTGGGGGGGTGGGAGTCTTCTTCAGTCTCCTCATGTGGAGCAGAGGGTGATGCTGACCCCCTCCCCGATCCAGCAGGCGGGGAAGAGCTCCTGGGTGAAGATACAGTGGAAGGCGTGGAGCCTGGTCTGTCCGTCTCCGTAGTAGGTCAGCGTCCCCGCCTCATAGTCCAGCAGCATCCCGATGCGGCTGTGCTGGGAGTGGCCCCCCAGGGTCTCCCTCCGCCCGTTGTGCCAGGCGCTCAGCTGATGCTCGTCCAGCTGCAGGCTCCAGGACAGCTCGTTCATTCCCACCATGCACCTCTTCCCCTTCTCCTTCCTGGGAATGGCCTCGTAGGTCACCTGAGGAGAGGAGGGGACATGATGAAGACGATAGATCTATAGATCTGTAGACCTGAAGACCTGGTCTCTACTGCATCAGACTTTGTTCCGAGCACAGGTACATCACTGTAGATCAGTGAGCCTCAGTTGTCTCCAGACACTGTGAAGTACCTGACCTGGCTCCTGTCCCTCAGTATCAGACCTGACCCCCCCCCCCACAGATGTGAACAGGTCTCACCCCCAGGTAGGCCCAGGGCTTGGACACCTGCAGCTCCCAGTAGTGCTGTCCTCGGGTGAAGCCCTGAAAACAGAGCACCTGCCAGGTGTGATCGAAGCGGGCCTCGTGAGCTGGGACGGGGCGGGGCCCGGAGGTCAGGTGCTCCGCCCGCCGGTTCTCCTGGGACAGAAACAGGTGCCCGTTGGCCGTACGGGGGTCAAAGGTCAGAGAGCATCGGTCTGCAAGGACAAAGAAGCAGGAAGTGATTCACCAAAATAAAATATACTTACAGAAAATACACATACAGAATAGAATAAGAGGCAGAACAGGAAGCATAAGTCTAACAGGTCAGAGACGTACAGGCGCTGAGGCCCTCCTTCCCCCCAGGGTGACACGGAGCAGCTGGACTGGGAACCACAGCGAGGATCGGCCTCTTGTCCTGAGGAGAACCTAGAGACCAGGGACAAGAGTGAGAACACAGAACCCAGACTGAGGAGGAACCAGCAGCTTCAAAGGGACCAGGTTACCGTCTCTGTCCTGACCCACAGCCACGCTCACAGCTTTGTCCAGGTCCTCCGACACCAGCTTAGAGACCCGGGACAACACGTCCGTGACCCCATTCAACCGGTCCTGAAGGTTGGGGGACACGTCTGTGGGGACGTCCTTAAAACGAGGAACTTCTACGAGCAGAGACTCCTGAGGAGAGAGAGGAAACTGTGAGAGACAGGATGTCAGAGATGAGCTGAGAGAGAGAGAGAGAGACAGGGAGAGGGAACTCTCTTCAATGTCCTGATGCTGATGACTTTAAAGCTTCTGATACCACAGTCCAGCACCTTGATGAGCTCTGTGTCGGGGAGGTGGTGCAGAGCTGCTATCTGTTCTTGGCTCTCTTTGAGTCTCTGGTTGTTCTCCTGCAGCTCGGAGAGCCGGGCCTCGGCCTCAGTGATGGCGGCCTCCCTCTGCTCGTCGACGAACAGCTCCGTGGCCTGCTGCTTCTCAGCCAGGACCTTCAGCAGCGTGGAGAACTTCATACTGACCCAGGCTGAGGTCTGCTCAAGAGTCACCTGTTGACAGAAAACACTGAATCACACGTCTGCTCTGTGAGATCTGGGAACATCAGGTGAATATAGTATTATTCTTTATCTACACAGAATGTACGAAGCTTCACTGGTTTTAAAAGCTGCGGGTTTGTCAGTTAACACCTGGACTTGTGTCTCTTGTGTGCAGGAGAATAATCAACTTCCTGATTGCTCATTAAACTTGGTTGTAGCAGCTGCAGGAGGAGCTGAGCTGAACTTGGAGCTAAAGCTGGTTTAACTGTCTGCAGGAGTGAAGCTGAAGGTTTCTGTTGTTGGTGTAAGAGCCAGAATAAGAATCAGTAAACTGTATTTAGTGACTTTAGTTACATCACAGCCAGTAGCTCTGAGTTGTAGGTAATCAGTGTGTGGAGCCAAGTCAAGCACAAAGACTGAGTCTTTATTTTTCTTGAGTAAATGTTTTAAATGGAGTTTCGGCTTCTGAAGATTCCCCTGCTTGTTGTCAAAACACAGACTGTGCAGTAGTTTCTATCTACATCGCTGATAAGAAAAATAAGATTGCCGCCACATCTTTCACACATGTTCTGACATGTTGGTTGCACTTTGTGCACATGAGCGCCCAGCTTGCTTGCCTCTCTCTCTCTCTCTCTCTCTCTCTCTCTCGCCCATTTTCCTTCTATATCTCCTTCCTGTTATTCTCCACAGGTCCTCCCGCCTCCAGAGCTGCAGCCGTAGAGTCTGGATCTGCAACTGCAAACCACCATGATCCTGTTTAACACCTGCTGCTAAACCTACTAAGATTACTTTAATTAATATTGATAAATATTAATGTTATTAGCTGACTGTCGCCTACTGCTGCTTTTGCTGGGAGTTGGGTCTCTGTAAATAATATTCTAAAGAGAAGGTCTAGACCTGCTCTATTTGGGAAGTGCCTTGAGATAACTTATGTTGTGAATTGGCGCTATACAAATAAAAATTGACTTGACTTGACACTGAAGCCCGGTGATGCTCTTCACCTGAGGACAGGTAGATATGAGGACGTTACCTTAGCCTGGTTAATGTTCTCAGCCAGTTCACTGATACTTTTCTGCGTCTCCTCGATGAGTTTCCCCACCTCCTTGCTCTTCCTCTCCAGCAGCAGCTGTAACAGGAGACAATAGGAGGGTTTAACATTCACACCATGTGATGACGAAGAAACAGTGTGTGTCTGGGTCCATGCTAAACAGCTGTGGTGCATTCGTGGTCCTGTACCTCCTGGTTCTCCCTCTCTGCCTCCAGCAGCACCTTCTCATGGGTCACACACTCTGAGATGCCACACTCGCAGCACACGGACATCTTGTCCTGCCTGCAGTAATACACCAGAGGCTTTTTGTGGCGCTCACACAGCAGCATGGCTTTAGCTGCTTCACCCCCCCTCAGGAGCAACTCTCTGCTGGGGGGGCCGCTGCTGTTTGCAGCCTCAGTCAGGACCGACAGGGACACATTGCGTTTGAGGACGGGCCTTTTCTCAAAGGGCTCGTTGCAGATGGGGCAGTGAGGTCCGATGTCAGCCTTGCTCTTGGTGTCCCAGTGGGTGGTGATGCACCTCTGACAGAAGGTGTGGCCACAGGGGATGGTCACCGGGACCCTGAACCGCTCTAAACAGATGATGCAGGTCAGGTTTTGATTCTGAGACTCCATCTCTGAACACAGACCAGATACCTCTGAGGAGAGAGAGAAAGCACACATGAGAGGATGGTCCCTGAACGCATCAGTGTAACAGCAGTGTCACTGTTAAACCTTTAATGTCACATTTTAAACCTTTTCACACAGAAACAGTTTGTGATGAATAAAAATTAAACTTCCTGTATTTCTGTTATGAGACTGAACAACAGCAGCTCAGACCTGATCTAACGTTAGCTCCACAGTCACTTAGCCCGGGAGCAGAGCTAACGTTAGCTTACATCCAGGTCAGTTACAGTAGCTCGGTTTCCCGGGACAAACAACGGTCACAGTATTAACCCGGTCTAACGGTTCGTGTTCACACACACACACTCCAGATACAACACAACGACAACACAACGTCTTTTCTTACCACTTCTACAGACACAGCATCTACCTGAACACTAAATATCGTCAGATGGAGCTTCCCTGATGACGTCAGACGCAAAAATGACGCCTTCGCGTTCTGTCGGGAAAATTAAAAACACACAGAATCAGATCAGTCTCACAATATAATATAATATAATATAATATAATATGATATAATATAATATAATATGATATGATATGATATGATATGATATGATATGATATGATATAATATAATATAATATAATATGATATAATATAATATAATATATGTGTAGCGCTGCTGTTGCTGTTATACATTCTGAAGAAAAAAAATATATATATAAAAGATAAAAAATTTACTCTACAACTTATGCTAGATTTGTTAGAGCTGTATTGATGTTAAAATATAATGTTAATAGTTTGTTAGTACAGTGACAGTCAGCGCTACAGAAAAGTCACAGTGCGCAGACTCGTTTAGCTCCTCTCGGCCTCCGTATATTCTGAAAAAAAAGAAGAAAAAAAACTCGTTCCAAGATGGCGCTGCGCACAGTCTGCTCCGCTGCCCTGCGGACCGGGACAGATTTAGGGGTCAACAATGTGAGGACGTTTGTAACAACAGGTATTATAACGATTTTGTTGAATTAATGAGTTCATATTCAGGACGGTGTCCGGGCTTCAGTGAATCTGTCCGGGGGAAGTTTGAATCAGACCTCCGGTACGTGCGGTCCTCTCCTGTGGAGACAGGCTCTCACCTGACTCTCCTGAAAAATGTGACGATTAAACGTGAACCGAGGGATCAAGTGGACAAGATAAAATATTTATACAGAAGAAGATACGATACCGAACCGTTCACCACCTCAGATCTGCTGAAACTGTCAGCTCATTTAAATCAGGACTTAAATCATCGCCGTTTACTGCAGTTCACCAATAAATCACATACATAACATCTGTTAAATCTTGTGCATTAGCTTGTTTTAATGTCTTTTATCACTACAGCACTGCTTTTAAAATGGTGTTCTACCTGATTTTATGCAATCTTGATATGACTTATTTTTATTCTTATTTATTGAAATTAGTTTGTATTGTTTTTAAATGCTATTTTAATGTCCTATTTTAATTTATAAATGTATAAAGCACTGTCACTTGTCTTACATACACAAACGTGTGTAAAACATTTAGTCAAACTGTGAAGTTAATTGCACCAGTGTAAAGTATAGAGAACTGAAACAAATGAAATGTATAATGTGTAATTATGTGTAAAGGCAGGAACAACCAGACATGACCTATCATTTCCTGTTATGTGACTGACTAACCTCTGGGGTGTTTCCTCATGATAGCGGCCCTCTGCAAACGGACCCCTCCTCTGGGTCCCATGCCTAATGACGTGATCGACCTCAAGAAACTGGAGTCGGTGGAGAGGTACCGCAGCTACACTCGTTACCTGAGACGAGCTGAGGAGGCCAAGAACCAGCCGGCATGGTGGAAGACCTACAGGGGCTACATGGAGCAGGCTGATCCGGATCATGGTGAGAGAGACGGAGGAGGAAGCTGTTGTCGGTGGCTCCCCTGAAACGTCTCGCGGTAAAGCTGAGTGTTGTTTTGGCTGCAGGTGGAGAGCAGGTGGACATCGGGCTGCCGCGCTACAGACCCCGCAGGACCACCGAGGTGAGGGAGCGACGGCAGGTGATAAAGGCAAATAAGAAGAACGCTGAGCTGGAGAGGAGCACACGTCTGCGCACATGTAAGATCACACACTGTCTCTCATATTCAGGTTCTTAATGTTCAGTGAATAAATTAATCAGCCCCCCCCCCCCCTCCAGTTAAGATCCCTCTGGACCGGGTGCAGGAGACCTGGGAGCAGAGCAGTGCTCCGTTTCATATAAAGAGACTGGCAGAGCACTACGGAGTCTTCAAAGACCTCTTCCCCCAGGCCTACTTCCTCCCCCAGGTGTTACTCCGTGTCAACTACGGCCAGGACAACAACAGTGGCCAAGTGTATTATGGGAATAGACTGACACCAACTCAAGTAGGTTAAAGGACTGGGAGTTTAACAGTGTGTTAATGTGTGCGCCCCCCCCACCTGTCCTCTCTGACTCTGTTGTTTGCTGTCTTCTCTCCAGGCAGCTTCAGCCCCTCAGATCAGCTTTGATGCGGAGGAGGGCTCCCTGTGGACCCTCCTGCTCACCTGTCCAGGTGAGACACAGTAAACCTCGCAGAGTCAGATTACTGATGGACTGTCAGAGTTTACTGACTGTGTTACATCATGTGTTTCAGATGAGCATCTTCAGGACAACGAGGCAGAGTACGTCCACTGGCTGGTGTAAGTGTCACATCTTTTGTCTGTCTGTCTGTTCTTATGCTGCACTCAGGTACTATCAAAGTTAAAGTAATTATGAGAGTTAAACTTCGACAATGTTCACATCAATGTCCAGGTTGTAATGAAGCTTGGAGACACCTGATGTCAGTGAAGGTGACATCAGGTGTCTCCAAGCTCCAAGGATGAACTCACTAGACTGGTTAGGAAACAGCTGCTAATGCTAACGTTAGCTATGTAGCAACAGATAAACACATATATCTGCTTTAAGTTCTTCATGTTTTCATCAGTTGAACTACGACTGACAGGAAGCTAATTAATTCATTTGTGTTATTTATTCTTTTCTCAACCAAGTCTTAAGTTTAAGATAAATTCACTTCCTGCTCCGTGATTCACTGACAGAACCTTAGTGGATTTGTTTGATCATATGTGATCATGTGACCTGTGTGTTTGATCGTGTGAACTGTTTGTGTGCAGGGGGAACATCCCAGGTGGATCGGTCCAGGCTGGAGACGAGCTGTGTCACTACCTGCCCCCCTTCCCTCCCAGAGGAACAGGCTTCCACCGCTACGTTTACATCCTCTTCAAGCAGCAGGGGCCAGTCAGCTTCCAAGACGACGTCAGGTCGTCGCCATGGTGAGCAGTACACTCAGCATCCAGACAGGAAGCTGATGTAGTTTGTATAATGAGATAATTTGTGATTGTTTATGTAGAGTTAGTTAGAAGAAGGTTCATTAACATTCACATCACTGTTCAGAGTAAATAAACTGGATCTAATGAGTAAATGATTAGGAGGTAGATTTAATGACCTCGGGACACAGGAGCTCTCAGTGTATTTACCAGACAGGTGACTGATGTGTTCACTCTCTGATAGAAACACTCGGCCTTTTCTCTCTCTCTCCTCTCAGCCTCTCTCTGGAGCACCGTACCTTTAAGACGGTGGATTTCTATAGGAAGCATCAGGATGACATCACACCTGCAGGTCTCGCCTTCTTCCAGAGCCAGTGGGATGAGTCCGTCACCGACACCTTCCACAACACACTTGGTGAGACACACGCACACGCACACGCACACACACACACACACACACAAAGTGAAGGTGTGTGTTGATAATCAGGTGTGTGTGTCCCGGCAGACATGAGGGAGCCGGTCTTTGAGTTCATCCGGCCTCCGGTCTACCACCCCCCCCAGGTCAAATACCCCCATCGACAGCCGCTGCGTTACCTGGACAGATACAGAGACGGACAGGAGCACACCTACGGAATATACTGATCACGTGACACACACCTGAGAACACCTGTTCATACATGTAGAATTATGTCTGACATATTTATGGTATAATGATGATAATAAAGTCTTTTCCAGCTGTGATGACGTTGTGATTTCTCAGTTTTTGGTTCAGTTTAATAAACTTTAATTGTATTTAATTTCACATTTAAAACACTGACTCATCAACTTGAGACTGATAACATACCGACTCTCTCTCTTTAACTGTGAATGAAACAGGTGAGACAGACTCATGTTACATGTCTCATGAAAATACTCACATTAAACAACATGATAAAAATGTCCAACACATTTTAAAAGGTTATATATAACCCTACACTTCTCTCGCCTCAACTTTACTGTTAATATGTGAATATAACTTCCTGTTTCTGGTCAGGTCATTTCCTCTTGTCTGATGTTGGTTGTAATTACACTTGTAATAGTTCTGTTGACCACTCGGGGGCAGTGGAGACAAACTGAACGCAGCATCAACATGCCATCACCTTGTAAACAGGTTTGACAAACTTCTGAGTAATGATGCAACATTCATTCATTCATTCATTCATTCATTTGCCCCTCAGTCACATGACCACACGTGATATTATGAGTCACTAATATCAGGCTCAGTTAAACCGGCTAAGACAGTTCTAAAGGAGTAGACTGTAGGACCAGTCAGCCGGCTGCAGGTACAGGTAGGCTAAACTAGTCTGCTTCAGTGTTTAACACTTCCTGGAGCTGTATGATCAGCTGACTGATGTAAAGTAATTTCCTAAAACACCTGGATACTCAAATAAGAGGAAAAGTGCATTTGTTAGGGACTATTTTCATCTGTGGATTGATACATGTTTGTTGCTCTAACGCATATTAATGGCAGCACAGTGTTTCCCCTCCATTGCTTTAACAGACCCTGTGCATCACCTCAAAACACTTTAGCATGTAGCATTTCTGAGCTAACGAGACAGATCTAGGCAGGGTTCCCGCGGGTCCTTAAAAAGTCTTAAATTAAAATCCGGGTAATTAAGGTCTTAAATGTACCATAAATTTCTTGTAAGTATTCAATTTCCAGACGGTGCGTTTAATGCCGATGGGAAAGCTCAGTGGACGACCGTAAAACATAGTGTCTATTTGTTTAACTTAGTACAAATACCGTCGTAAATGAGAGACTCCGCGATTAATGGCCGTTTTACGGTACGTCAGCGACAGACCGACGTCGGCCTGCGTGCAGCCAGTACGCGCGGTGGTTGTCAAAGCGCGGAAAATAACAATAAGGCAACGTGCAAATTTTGTAAAAAGACTTTTTCCCTTAGGGACCATGGGTCTCAAAGCAGTTGAGGCGCACATGAGAGGAGTTAAGCACCAGCGGTATGCGGCGGCAGCTTGCCACCGCGGGGCCAGGCTAATCCCTGCATTATTCGGAGCACGAGCTAAAGATATAAATTCAGACGCCACCTCTCAGTCGGCTTTGAAAAGCTTAATTTTACCACCAGAGACCCAAAAGGCAGAGGTACTGTGGGTTCTCCATACTGTGATGAGGAATAATTCATTCAGTGGCGTCTTTGCTGCCATGTTCCTCCGATTCCCAGCTTGCAAAGTCATTCACCTGTGGTGAAAATAAAACGGCGTATCTTGATTATTGTTGTTATTTACAATGGAGACTGCTTTAAGTGTCAAAGTGTTATTCAGTGTTATTCTGTCCTTATTTGGAAAATGATTGTTGGCTCTGTTCTGTGTCACAATGGAAAGGAAAAAAATGGAAAAAATACAACTTTTAGCTTTGATTGTGTTTAAGATAAAGTAAATGTATTTTCTACCAAAGAAATTGTTAGACATTTTTTAGTCTTAAATTTTATTTGTTGAGGTCTTAAAATGTCTTAAAAGGCATTAAATTTGACTCTTAAAATGGTGCAAGAACCCTGCTAGGTTACAGCAGCAGGAAGTGAAAAGAAGAATCTTTTTATATAAAATAAAATGTTTAATGATGGTGAATATGATGCAGTGTACACACACACAGTTGATTACAGTAGATAAGGTCATTACTAATCACTTCATCAGCTTCAGACTGAACCAGGTGAAGTAGGTGTAAACTGTCAGAACTAATCAGCTGTTCATCTGGACCAATGAACTCAGTGCATGTTCAATAGTAACCCCATTTATTATCTGTGCTCAGTTACTGGTCAGTCACTGGTCTCTGTGGTCCCCATTTACAACAGCAGCTGTGTGTCTGTCATAGTCCGGTTCACCTGAGACCAGGTTCAGGTTCGAGCCACGTGGAGCATCTCCTCCACAGTCAGCAGCTTCTCTCGGGGTTTCCCTGAGGCTTCACCTCTGCTCATCTCCACCCTGTCGATCTTCTCCCAGTCTGAGAAACTCACCGGTTTCACTCCTGCAAACACCAACACAGTTTGACTGATGAGACGTGACTGGTGAGAGACACTGATCATGTCAGACAGGAAGCACCAACTGTGTTTTCATTCGCCATTAAAACACTGACTAGTGATGAGACACGCAACACTTTCCTTTAGTAAACTTCAGAATAAGGTGTGTGCGTGTGTGTACTGGTTGTGGAGGAGTAGGGTTTTCCCAACATAAAACCTTCAGATACTTTCATGTATTCTCGGCTGGTTGCACAAAACACGTCAACAAGTCTTCATGACCCAAGAAGAAGAGTTCTGGAGCAGGAGACACAGTTAACGATGAGGAAGTGACTCCACATCTCAGATCTGACCTGCAGTCAGTTTATGATTCATCCGACCGTCTACAGTTGGATCCTCTAATGTCCACATCTCAATGAGCTCTACGGTTTTATGTCACATGATCTTTCTGGTGAGGTTTAGTCGAGGTGTTTCATGTGTTTCTGTAAAATCTCTTTCGCTGCAGCAAATGCCTCAAATCTTTTCCTTAACTAAGGAAACCTTTTAAGAGATTCTGTGCAACACCCTTAAGTTACTCCCTCAGCTAAGGAAAAATAAAACCGCAAGTGTCATACTTAAGTAAAAAAAAAACTTAACTGAGGCCCTGATCAGTAATCCACCAATGAGATACAGTCAGTTGGCAGTTTATTAGGAACACCTAGCTGAAACTAATCTAACGGAGCAGCAGCGACTCCTTCATGAAGGTTGTGATCATGCTGCTGATTCAGGTCATCACTGGCTGCTGTGACCCAACAGGTGAGGTGACAGGTGAGGTGACAGGACAGTACCTCTCTGTTCCAGCAGAGCAGTGATGACCTGTGATCCAGACTTGGCAGCTGATAGATCCAGAACTCCTGACTCCATGTCGTCCAGTAACGACCGAGCCGTGTCAAAGCTGTTGTTCATCGTGGTGGCGATCACACCTGTGGGTCCAGTCTTCAGCCAACCACTGCAGTACAGACCTGGAGGGACACATGGGCTGTAGTTTGATTATGTCTGTCTGTGTACCTGTGTGCACCTGTGTGTACCTGTGGACTCTGTACCTGGGGCTTGTTTAATGCGGCCCATGGTGTTCGGGACGATGGCGCTCTTAGAGTCGAAGGGCACCGATTGGTCGATGGGGAGGCTCTTGTAGCCGATGCTGCTGATGACGAGGCCGCAGGTCACGTCCTCCACGTCTCCAGTGAGCACCGCCCGGGCCGCCTCACCTGAACCCTGCTCACACACAGGTAACCAGCTTTAACTGAGCTCATACCGAGCAGCTGCACACATGAAATCCTGTTTACCTCCAGCCTGGTGACCGCCAGTCGGATACCAGCCGTCCTGTGGCGTTCAGGGTCGGCCAGGACCTCGACGGGGCTCCGGAAGAATCTAAGGCCCCACGTCCGGGAGGCCTGGTCCCTCCTCTCCTGCTCCGTCTCACCTGGAGTCTGCAGAGCCGTCTTCAGCATCAGCTCTGTCAGACGCTTCCTGGGCCTCGGTAAATCTGACGGCGACATTAACACTGAGCATCTGTCTGCTCTGAAAACACCTGTCTGCTCTGAAAACATCTGTCTACTCTGAAAACATCTGTCTGCTCTGAAAACACCTGTCTGCTCTGAAAACATCTGTCTACTCTGAAAACATCTGTCTGCTCTGAAAACACCTGTCTGCTCTGAAAACATCTGTCTACTCTGAAAACATCTGTCTGCTCTGAAAACACCTGTCTGCTCTGAAAACACCTGTCTACTCTGAAAACATCTGTCTGTTCTGGAAACAAATGTCTGCTCTGAAAACATCTGTCTGTTCTGGAAACAAATGGAAATAAATGATTTGTGTTCATATTATTGATAAAGTATTTGACTGAACTGTGACCTGATCAGATGATCAGATAATGTTAATTATTTAAATATTAAAATGAATAGGCTTCTAGACTAAACTGTTTCCAGTTGAGTTTGTTGATAAAATCTGATCTTACCCTACATCTTAAAACAGTTAACTGTGGCATGTGTGTGTGTATATGTAAACGTGTGTGAGTGTTTGTGTGCTTTCATCTGCTGATGCATCAGCGTGAAGTGTCTGTTGTTTCAGTAAATATGGAAAGAGTGTGTAGGTGTGTGTATCTCAGAGCAGATATGCAGAGCATATCAAGACAAACCTCAACACTCAGGTTGTTTTGGAACATGTTCAGATTCACTGGTCTTCATCAACTTCCTGCAACTGCTTGTAAACATGAACCTGCGACACTTGTCTGACATTAAAATCATCACTGACAGTTTGAGAACAGACACAAACCACCAGCTTCTTACATCATCCTTCACTCAGTGAGTCTGACGTTTAACACAGATCAAGGTTCTCGGTCAGCCCTGAGCGGGAGGCTGTTATCACTAGAGCAGCACCATCAGTCAGCTCAATGTCGTCTCTCTGACGACCACGAGGACGAAGACAAGGATGAGGACAGTGCCGCATAACGTCCAAGCTGCACCAGCAGAACCCGTGTCACCAGCTGACTGTAGATGAGCTACAGGACATGTTCTCACTGTGGTGAATAAAACCTGTGACTTGTCTCCTTCTCTTGTGTTGTGTTTATACAGTTAAACAGAGAACACACCGAAGTCTTCTCGTACCTTTCAGAGCTTCTGTGACTCCATCAAAGTCAGCCTCCACCATGTCAGGTCTGGTCCCCGGCAGGTTCACCATCTCTCTGAGCTCCTG